TGAGTCTGATTGCACTGGCATCCGTGACCTCGGGTGAATAACCAAGATCATATACACGAGAAAAAATGAAGATGGAAATGTATTAATTGTTTAAAGAGATAATGATTAAATAATTTAAATAATTTAAAGAGATGCAAGATTAGTAACTTGTAGCCGCGATATGGATGCTACGTTGCTCCGTAAAGATTACCTATATATATATATATATATATATATATATATATATATATATATATATATATATATATATATATATATATATATATATTTTTTTTATTTTTATTTTTTCTTTATTATTTTTTTTTTTTCATGTAGAAAATTCCTAATGGATATATTCGAAGAAAAAACACTCTGGAATTTGCAACACGAAAAAAGTGGAAATGATGAAGAAACATGCAAAAATTTCTGCCTCTAAAGGGTAGTGGTGATGCATGGAGCTCAAGGCACAGTACTTTCACATTATTTTAAAGTGAGGCACTAACTTTTCTTAGGAATATATAAAGATTTTATGCTTCTACGCTGCTATGTCGTGTTACGTATTCGACATCTGCCGAGTGCAAATATTTGAATTGCCAAAGCGAGTGGTAAAACATTTATTTTGACTCTCAGAATAACCACCTCGCTTATTTCATTATAAAAGTTACTCTTATTTAAAGGTATGACTCAAATTATTCGTTGCTTTAGACTACGGAACGGATATGCTGGGCCGGAGCAGACGCAACAGAACGAATAAATATTTCAATAAACTAATAATTCAAAATAAATTACACCTGACTGATACAATAAGAGAGAATCAGGGAACCAATTAATCCTCCATTCCCTGTATATATATATTTTAAAATCCCTGAATATGATCTCAGATGTATAAATATGACAATAAACGATACAATGTAGCAGTAAGACTTAAATGATATAAAGACTTTATATACAATGTAGATACAATTTATATACAATAAATTTATATACAATTTTATATACAATAAATTTATATACAATTTATATTTATATACAATAGATTTATATACATTTTCATATACAATTTATATACAATGTAGCAGTAAGACTTTAAGGATATAAACATATCTAACTCTAGCTTTCTGTTCAGTGTGATTCGGAAAATATCCAAAATAAATATCATTTGACGAGTTGAAGATTCTTGCTTACGATAATTGGATAGAAAGATTGTTTAGGTCTCTCTCTCACTCTCTTTTTTTTTCTCTCCTCTTTCTTTCTTCTCTGTCTCTGTCTTCTCTCTCTCTCTCTCTTTCTCTGTCTCTCTCTCTATCTATCTATCTCTCTATTTCCCTCTCTCCCTCCCTCACTCTATCTCCCTCTCTCCCTATCTCATTCCCTGCCTCTCCTGCCCCTCTCTCTACCCTCTCTCTGTCTCTGTCTCTCTCTCTATCTTTCTCTCTCTCTCTATATATATATATGTGTGTGTCTGTGTGTGTGTGTGTGTGTGTGTGTATGAATATATACATACATATAAGCATTTATATGAGATCAGGGTGTGGAGAGGCGTTAATCTTCCTATTGGAACTACAAGGTATACTGTCTATGGGAAGCCAAAGGGGCGAAGGCGGCTTAAGGGCCCAGAGAGCGAGGGAAGGGGACTGTGCACTCGTCCTACACCCTAGGTACATGTACTGAAAGAAAACGGGTATGGATACCTGTGTTCTTTTAGTCGGAGTGAAGAAATATAACACTTGTAAGAATCTTGTTATTCAATTACGTGAGAAAAAAATGAAGGAATAAAAGGTGTAGAAGAAATTCCCATTGACGGTAAATGACGTTAAAAATTAAATTCAGAATTAAATTCAGTATAAACATATCTTAAGTTCTTATAAACAATTGCCAATCTCGCCCTGCAATTTCCTAATTGATAAGCAAAACAGGTCAGACACAACCGTTTCCCCCCAACGTCTCGAGTTAATAGGACAATCCAGGTTCAAAAACAACGCCGATTTATATAAAGTTTATTCATGACAGGTAAAATGCACAGCTCCTCCACGTCAACCGGTAACAGTTACCTTAACAAGAGCACATTGCAATTAAGATAAATTTATACAAAATACAGGTTAATTAGTAATGAATGAGATGGATAAAAACACGGTATAAAGAACATTAAAACTAAAGCAATAGGACAATAAAACAACGTGAGATAAAGTAAGCAAAGTAACAAATTCAACTTTTAAAGCAAAATCCAAAATAGAGTTTAGTCACACGACAAAGTATCTCTTTGTTAATTAGGTAAATACATATTAATATCGGTGACAGGCAAGTCGTGACAGAGAATAATAAAATCTAAAAAATTACCATAAAACATGTGAGAACAAGGAAACAATAATGTATACATCTAAAATTTAAGTTTTTATGAAGGAAGGAAAAAGAATATAAAATATCATATTCCAACTACGTTTCATGTTCAGTATTACGAAAACATATTGTATGGAAAAAAGTAAGTAAAAACAATTAATCTAATGAAGATTAAAAAAAAACA